TTTGAATAAACTTGCTGTATTTTCGAATAAAAAAGGTGTATACACATGTATATGCACTTGTCTCCAATACATTAAAATCCACTCAATTTTTTCATTCACATTCTATAAATTGCCACAATTGAATCCGTCCGATCAGAGTCCAGACAGCTGCCTTTTGGTGTCCCCCAAAGGATCTGTACTCGGACCGAAATTGTATTGCCTCTTCTCCAAACCCATTGGAATCATATGCCACCGACATGGAATGATATGTCACTGCTATGCAGATGATACATATATCTACATGATCATAAGACCACTGGAAAATTGGAACAATTATTTCTCTCGACTTGAAGCGTGTCTTTGTGAAATTGGTTCATGGATGACATCAAACCTACTCAAACTAAACCAAGAAAAGACCGAGCTAATAACCTTCACCACAAAGCAACACCAGAAGTATCTGACAACATTACAACTAAAAGTTGGTGATAATATCATTGAAAGCGTGCCATGTGTAAAAAATCTAGGTGCATTTTTCGATCAACACCTTACTATGGAAAAACAGGTATCCTCGGTCGTCAAGTCACGCTATTTTCAAATAAGCAATATTGGACGAATACGGCGCTTTCTTACGAAAGAAGCCTGCAAGACCATATGGTGAATGCCGTTATCATTGCCAGGCTCGACTATGGGAACTGCCTTCTATATGGAGTGTCAAAGGCTTTACTAGGCCGGATTCAAAAAGGCCAGAACACGGCAGCTCGTTTAGTTACAAGATCATCGAAACGGGAGCATATTACACCCATCCTAGCTGATCTTCATTGGCTACCTGTTTCTTTTCGTCCACAATATAAAATCTTGACATATGTCTACAAATCCCTACACGGGTTAGCTCCATCTTATATCAAAAATCTTATAATGGAATACAAGCCTACCAGATCACTGCAATCTGAGTCAACATCACGGTTAATTGTTCCTAAGATCAGTACGAAGACATATGGCGAACGTCAACTTAGTTGGGCAGCAGCATTTTTGTGGAACGATCTTCCTAAGGATATAAAGCACTCCCAGTCCCTGGATATTTTCAAAAGACAATTAAAGACGCATTTTTATTGAATAGCTTTTTAAGTTTCAGGTGCTCAATTTTTAGCAGCAAATCATAAATCACAAATGATGTTCTTTTATTGAGTTTTATTGATGGCGTAATTGTATTTTGTGTATAATTTTTAGTATGTTAATGTTATAATTTCGAATACATATACGAGTATGGGTTATTATTTTATATAGTTTTCATAGCTTTTAAATTATGTTTACTTGCGTTTTATTGTACAGCGCTTTAGAGTTAAATTATTAATATTTAGCGCTTTATAAATTCATATTTTATTATTATTATAAATAATTCTATGTACCCATCTAATTAAAATCAGACTTCTTGGATCTGCGCCGCATACTCTTCTTACGCATAGTATACAGCGCGGATCTAAGAAGTCTGATTTTAATTATAGATTGCATTATGTACATGTACACGTAACAACATGAAGGGTTTAAATTGAAAAAAAAAAACGAACAATGGTCGATCTAAATATAACTATATTAAACATTACTAAAAAAAGTCATGGATATTGACGGTGGGAAACAGAAGAAATGAAATGTATGGAGATAACATACAGTATTTAGGTTCAAATGTCCATTCATACAACGCAAGTCAGGAGCAGAGCAAACATGGACCTCTAAAACAGCAGAGGTGGGACCAGGTTGCATTTGGGAGAGAGTATCCCCTATTGACTGGTCATTTCCGCCAGTGCTCCATTGTCATTATCGGGAAATGACTGAACAATTTATCAACAATTCACAGTGCAAACATGTTTAATTTTCTAACTGTTTTTTTTCTTTACTCTTAGGTTGTATAAATAACTATGTATATGTTAGAAGAAATTCATATCTACTTCTAGTAAATTTAGAACTTTTCTTTGAAGAAATTTTACGGCAAAAGATACATTATCGAATGGTAATGGAAAGCAAATAATACCATTATCCTAAAAAATATGAAAGATTAATCCCAGAAGTATTCAATGATCACACTAAATTGAATAACATGTACAGAGAAGATTGATACACGTAAATAAATATTGAGTCCGAACGCAATAGTGCTTTTACTTTTATAACATACTTAATTTAAGTAAGTAAACTTAAAGAACACTCACTAGCACCTTGCGTTGCTCCTGCAACACTCAATAATAAAAAACAGATAATTATGTTTATTACTTGAAGCATTTAATAACGGTTAATGTTTGTATAAACCATCTCTACATATATGTTCTCCACATCCTATTAAAATATTAATTGTTTACATTGATAGATTTGTTCAGTTCAGTTTTATTGAAGTCGAGAGACATACATCTCATAGACATAGATAAAGCATCCTTCCTTTTAGTTCATGTATATAGGTATTCTGCAAATCACAACTTCGGAACATTTAAAGTGCACTTTTTTAATAATTTAATTCTGGTTGTATTCTAGTTTTGATTGACAAGGTTCAAAATCTAACACAAGTAAAATCTGTACAACCTGATTTAGTATGGGACGCAATCCACTGACAACAAAATGCCGGTGAACTACTCTTCCGGTTTTGTAAAAAATGTGCCAATAAATGTGCTAACGAAAAGATTTGATATCATGCAAAAATGTTTTGTCTGAATTTGTTTGCATTATATGCATCCTTTATTAAATGTAATAAATATTCATGATAAACATTAGGGAGGTATAATTGGGGAATGATTATTCTTGTCGTCTGCTAATGTGAAGAAAAAGAAAATGGATGGTAATTTAAGTAATGTTACTCGTGAAATGTTATATGAACATTTTTTGGTGAAGTTTATTTTAGACAGATACTCCTTTAGCACAATTCAAAATTGCAATGAAAAAGCGTGGTCATTTTGCATAGTACTGAGTACTCAAATAGGTTTTTATGGTTTGATAGGAGATTCTAAATTGAGGATTGTTTATTTTACTCTTTTAATTTAGATATGTTAAAATAATGAATTGTTATGTTTACTTTTGAAGTAAGACATTCTGACCGATAGTTTTCTGAAAGCTGACGAGTTACATAGCTTAACTTAGAAGGCAAGTATAAGTAATGGACCCTCTACCGGTAAACGATAAAGACAGTCTTGTATTTCTTATATTGAGTAAATAGAAGTTGAAAAGATATCATAGATTGTTTTGAAGAATTAAAATGCATGGTGGTTTTGCAAATCAGCTTGCAGAAAATATCTGCGATCCATTACTTCATAACAAAATGAGGTTAAAAAACGTTTTTGACACTGAACTCTAAGAATGGAAGGTAGGGAAATTCATTATTTTCCCTAACAGCTACTTTATAGGGACTGAAGACTCTTCAAAGTAGACGTTGTACTAAATTTATTTTTAAAATTATCAAAATAGAAATTTAACACAATTAAAAAAAAATGAAGATGTAAAATTAAATATTAATACACAGTAAATGGAAGAACCCAATCCGGAATTTCACAGAAACCAGCATACATATGATAAGCATGATAGTATAAGCTAGCACGAAGCCCCGATCTTACAATTGTCGATACATGTAGAACTTCATTTACATGAAGAATTATGTCCAAGATTATGCCAAAAGGTGAAAATTTAACATTTTTTGGATTTGTTACATGTATCAGCAGAGTACCTTCGTTTAATCTACTCTGATTGTACACACAGGTACTCTGAAGTTGACATTAAAGGATGCTGGAGTTCCTCATTGACAAAATTTATGTAGTCTTCGGAGCTCAAGCTCTACAACAAAAATCCGATGGGCACTATTTGTGTTCCTTAAACAGCTGACATGTTTTATATATTCCTATGAAGCAGAATATATAAAAAAACATCAATATGAGAATAGGAAGAAACTAACTGTTACAGTATCTTTCAGTTTATCAATTGACAATACTATTAGTTACGTTCATTCGTATATCGTATGGATTTATTACAATGAACATACCATGCAGTAGTTTACAACATCTTTTTCATGTTTTGATGATTTAAAGCCTTTAGACGATAAAAGCAAACTCATAAGTAAGTCCTATAACATACATAAAAACTTAAGTGTTTTCACCTTCTCCTTTCCTTTTTATGTACAATGTAGTAATATTCCACTTTCACCTGCATAAAGTGTTTATGTCTCCAAACATATTCGCAAAGAATGCTACTCATTCACTGATAAGCTGATAATTCATTGGTTTCAACAACCTCAATTTGAGTCGGCATTTCTTAGTTTTATGGCTTTCATACATGTAAAGATCTTGTTAGCAAATATAGCATATCATTTGGTCGTAGTTTGGCCGACTCTTTTCATACCAATTGTAATGCTTTAATCTTATACTCAAAAGACATTGTAAACTTTCTTCTCTCTGATCGAAATAAATGATTCATGGCGATGTTTCCAATTAACAGTGATGCATACCTCTCATAGGCACCTGATCCCAACTGAAGTTTCCATGGGTCTGAATTTATGCACTCTTGATATGTTTATATTGCTTTTAGATTTTATGTGATCGATCACTGTCCAATATCTTTACCAATCTTTTTCAGTCTAAACATTAATGGAAATAGTTAAGTAGAATAAATAATTTGTATTTCAAATTAATATACATGTGCATTGAATTTTAGATTTAAAAAAAAAGGTGTGCTAAATACAACAATGAAATTTACCCAAGATCATGATGAATTTTTTTCTGAAGTGTATTTGTACAGTAAGGTTTTTAAATGATCCGTAGTGCAAAAAGAAGCACATTGGCCCATTTGTTTTTTTTTGTTTTTGATTTTAATTAAGTTAATATGTTTACAAATTCTTAAAATGTACTTGATAAAAAAGACTCGCATCACTTTGAATACAGGACCCAACCTCCTTAAGTAGAATGTGTCATGGCTAAAATCTCATTAAACATTTGTTTTGCTTATTAACATTTTTATTCTCGAGTCATTTGTAGATTTAGCCATACAACATATTCCTTTTAATCAAAATACTTGATTTGTTTCACTTGATGGATTTCTGATTCTGCAACAAACAATATGTCATTACTGTCTTTACTTAGGTTACATGGTTCATGAATTCCACAATTGTCTATATACCGAAGAAACTGTCCGATTTGATCAATGATGTGTATAATGTTGTTCCCACCGTCAGCTATAAGAATATGACGCATACTGTCTACAACTAAGCCACAAGGGATGATGTCTTTGTATTTTGGGGAATTAGAATTATTGCCATAGTTAAACTTGAACTTGCCTTCATGATCCATTACAGTTACAGAATTTATATCATTGACTACAATGTCATAGTTCTTGTTTTCAACAATGCAAGGTACATATGATGAAAATAAGTCATTATCACAGGATTTAAATTGTATTTCTTTTGTGACTTCAAAACCAGAATAACGGACAATTTTCCTAAGCACAAAATCTTCTGATGTATTTAAAGATAAAAAATGTACCAAAAGGTCATCCCTAAATGTAATGCAGATGGCATCTGGTTGCCATTCTGAGTCAGATATTTCGACCATGATTTCTATCCTTCCATTTCTAACTATGTTAATTACATTACAGTCAATGAATATAAGATGTCCTTCTCTGGTAACCTTCAAATCAGATGGACGAAATGCTTTATTTTTGATCTTTGCCAGCACTTTCCCGTCTGTGTTCATGTGTTTGATGGTTTTATTGAAACCACTGACATAAAATTGATCAGTGTTTGGATTGCATGTTATTTTACGAATTTCTTCATTTACACCCAGAGATATATTTCTGACAATATGTGGAAAATCAAGGAAATTTCTTGACTCTTTTGCAATGTGCAGTGACTCTGGAGCGTTCAAAACAAGTCCTTCAATAAAAATTGTCTTTGTTCCCGTTTCTCCAATTTTCTGAAAAATTCCTTCTTCTGAGAGTCCTGTAGAATTTAATTCTACCACTGATATTTCAAATCTTGGAGGTAATTTTCTAAGTTTTTTATTAATAGAAACATAGTTTAGAAGTCTTAATGCATCTGTGGAAGAAAGGATAGATTCATTTTCGTCTATTTTTGAATTGGTTAATAAACGCAATTTGCCAAACTCTAATTCAAATAATAGAATGGCATCAATATCCTCTTTTTTCATCTTATTTAAATCACTTTGACATTTCTTAAATTTGTCTTTACTAATGTCACATGTTTTTCCAAGTTCATTAATAGCTTGTTGTCTTTCACTATATTTTTGTACAATGCTTGATAACATTTCTCTTATCTCAGTAAGAATTGAATCAAAAACAGGTAAAATGCTAATTTTAAGTTCATTTAGGTCTTTCCTTATGAGTTAAAGTTTTGATTTGTAAAATTCAGAAATAAGTAAAATAGTATGATTTTTATGTTTTCCAGCAGTTATGCATTTGATACATATTTCAGAAACACAAGGTTGACAAAACAATTCACATTTTAGTTCTCTATGAAATCTGCATTTGGACAGAATTATTTCCGAGGTTTTAAATTCAAAAGTTACGACTTCATGTATTATGGCAGAATTGGCGAACATATGGAAACCGATGCATTCCAGACAGAGATTAATTTTGAATGTGTTACACGTCATTTTTGCTGCAGTTTTTCTCTCTTTGTTAGGGCAAAATTGACAGCGTTTTGCATCTTGTGCCCTTGAAAAAGGATCTTGTAATGTTTCCATTGTTCTTCCTTAAAGTGTTTATTCTCACTCCGACAATGATAAAGTGTCGCTATGTATCCCTCTGCTAATAAATTTGGGTACAAAATATTTTTCTGCAACTGACACTAAAGAAAAAATAGTTGAACGTTGAACGTTTAAAATTATATAAAATGGCTTACCTTAAGTTTGTCACCAAGTGTTATGCCGGTTCTTCTGGGGTTTTTTTATATAACAAATGAACCTTTAACATGTAATATTTGTACTGTGTGTGCGTTGATTCAAATATGTACTTGTGCCGAGAAGTAAGTCAATTTGTATTGCATTTAAATAAATCTAGAGACGTGAATAAATGTCATATTTTTATAAGCGTGATATTTACACATTCCTTTTTCTCATCAGTTGAGATTGAAATACTTTTTTTTCGTAAAAGTGGGCTCTTGGTTTCTATTTTCTTTAATCAAACATTTTAAGACTCTTTAAAGTCATAATCTAGTTTTTGTTTTACCTTGTCTGACTTATTTTAGTTGTTGGATATTTGTGGTTATTTAAAAGTTTTTTATTCATAAAAACTTTTATGCGTTTCCTTCAAAATTTCTGAAATAAAGAGAGAAAATAATGTATCAGATTAAGATTTTACAACTGCAAATACAGATTTAAGATTCATGTAATATAAATTTAGGACTGGTTTAAGGTTGTCGAAAGGTGGCTTAACGATAATGTAATGTTGGTTTAAAGAGGTGTGGACATAACGAATGCAGAGAACTTTTCTTCCATCCCGATGTACAAAAGGTCACATTTAGTAGATTCAAATAAAACAGTTAATAATTTTATATTCCTTCTCAGGTAAAAGTGGGCAAATTTAGTAATTTTTAAATAGAAAAGACCCAGGACACTTAAGGACAATCAAGGGGCGTTTCTTAATGCAAGCCAATAAGAGGGGGTAGGTTACAGAAATAGTTATGAGGTTAAAGATTGGGAAATTACTAAAAAAAATAGCATGCTCCAAACCCCCTTAGCGCTGTTGACGCATTCAACGGTATTCATAAAAACATATTTCGATATACCAGACCAGAGTCGAGTTGAGGCCCAAACACATGCTACATGATGTATAACAGCCGGAGAGAATATCAAAATCAACTTTTCAACAGCAAAACAATTGTTTCGAAATTTTGTTACAAGGAAGATTTAAATTAGGGATGACAGAGGCAAGTGTCATGCAACGCGGCTTGAAACAAAGAGAAAAGATACTCAAAACGAAAGATAGAAAAAAGATAAAAGAGGAGCGGTTAAAACAATGTCAGAATTATACGGATAAAGATATGGATTAAACACTGCAGTAATCGGGCTAAGGGAATTTATTGTATTAATTATATAATTAAAGGGGCACATAAATAAAAGACATCAGTTTAGAACTATCTAGAACATAGCTAACTTAAAGTCATGGAAAGAGTAAAGCCTTTTTTTAATTCCACGCAAAATCCATAGCAAATTTTAGATTAATATCACAGCTATAAAGAACTTTTTATAGCAAACTTGTCGATCTAGCAAACATATTTCGAGCGCCTAAGAAATAACCAAAAATCATTAATGAAAAAATTTAATTTTCCTAAAATATAATATATTCGAATGACCTTATTTTTTCAAAATTTTTAGAATGGAAATTCAATTCATTAAAAATATTCAGTACTTATAGAATATTGGAACATAATACATCTTAAAAATATTTGATAGCAATACTTGAAGTTCAGATGTATATTGCTATTTTGTCATAGTCATCAATTTGTTATACGCATGTAACGAATTACGGAAATTAATTACTAAAGAAATAAATGACAAGTTTATAAACTTCAATGGCAATTGAAATGGTTCAGTCACGTGATCAAATCCTGTGAAGCCCGAAGGCCTTCTAAGAAGATTTGAATGACAGAAAGAAACACTTGCCAGGCGGATACAAGTATCTGGATGAACTTTAAAATGTCTCTTGGATAAACCTCGATTATATCGGTATAAGTATAATGTTTGTAGTTGCTCATGAAACCATCATAGTGCGAAATTAAAGAAAAAATAGTTCACGAGCATGCACAAAAGATAAAACTATGTCATTCGGTTCAGTAAAGGGTGAGTGAAGGATTGCTAAAAATTTACTGATATGACAGATCGATACCCTTCTGTCACGTTACCAGACTCCAGTGACATTTCAGTTGACTATAAGATGCAGGTTTATACTCTGCCAATTATATAATAGACAAGTTGCTGTCCTTTAAAAAAGGACTGCAATACGTGGACCATATGCGTGTTTTTTCTAACCTAAATTCAATTAAGAAAATTTCTAAGTGTAGGGAATATTCATGTAAGGTTTGTTCACTTATTCTTAAATTATCTGCCACTTATAACTGATCGTAGTCTCAAAGCACAAATGTGAAATTTTATCTCCGATTAGCGACCTTTAGTTTTGTCAGTAAAATCGGGTTATTTTGACACGTGTAACACATATTGGCTGGGACTTGACACCTGTTCTGAATTTATACGGAAGAAATTTATCATGGGAAAAATGGAGAATTGATGGTTCACGTGAAGCACACCTCTGTACAACGCAGATTTGTTTTTTATTTTGTCGGAGCCCCCACCCCCTCCCCCCAACACACACACACATTAAAAGCCCTTGCTACAGACCTTTATCAAACAATAATTAGATTGCTGAAATATTAAACTATTTTGCAAGTCTTGATGCACAAAACTAATGCCGGTGAAAACTTGCTCTACTTTAAAAGCTTCATGTACATGTATCTCTGTTCGTTGAGTGACGTTTCTCATTCAAGTTGTTAATTTACATGTATCTATATACTGTAACTTCTTAAAATGTTTGTACCATAGAATCAATGTTTAGTATAAAAGTATATGTAAAAGAGAGGAAATCGGATCTGCCAATGAATATGTAAATGCGATATGCTGATTTAAAAGCGCGATTTGCCAATGAATGGCATATTTTAATTCGAATAGGGCGAATTATTCTACGGGAAAGTTACCTAAGGTGCGAACTCTCAAGCATTCGCGCGCATGCGTAGCCTGTCGTTTGCCCAGGGCATCCGGTTCAACTTCGCTTATATATTTACTGCGTGGACCGCAGGGTCCACGCAATAAAGGGGGGGGGGCATAAAAGTCTGCTTGAAAAAATTTAATACCAAACGTTTGATGCATTTGTCATCATAAAAAATCTAGTTTTTATTCATTCAAGGAAACAGAAAACTAGTACATATAATTTAATTTATCAAATAAATAAGATCAGACCGGTTACAAAACTGCACTAAATTAAAAAATAGAGACTAGACAAAATTGATAAAGAGCATGACGCAAAAGAAAATATGCATGGAAAACTTTTTTAAAGATGTTCGATAATGGGAATTACTAGAATATTGATGTTCAACAAATGACAACTTGAAAGAATCTACTAGGAAACATCATTCCTTTGCTAGACATGGAGAAAAAGGGAGAATTTGATATCCTGTTCATCATGAAACTAACCACTATCATAAAAAACATCAGAGAAACACAAAAAAGATACCTTACAGTTTGCATATTTATAAAAAAAATAAGCGCTAGAAAAAGAGGTCATGAAATAAAACAAAAAAACAATTTGCTTGAAATAGTGCAAAACAGTGGTCATATCTAAAAGCTTTTGTTCAGAAAAGAAGGCAAGTAATGGAAAAAGTACTTTGATGTTCTAAAAGTAACGGATCAGACAGCAATTAGAATTGTTCACATCCTGATGCAAACATCTATTGATAGAGCTTAGTGCTTATATTCCTCAACCGCGATAAGGCAAACCTCCAATTTCTATTTGCTGAACAGACAAGCAAAAAGAGTCTTTACTACGCTAAGGATATGCCCTTACATGTATCAATAAACCTTATTGTCATATGCATGTGTATGTAAATATCGATTTGATATAACGAACCCTCTTCAAGCTTATAAGTCATTTAATCGGGCACAAAGCAGACGTGGACTTATAGAGAGAAAATGGTTTTGGATCGACTGTGCAATGTCAGTGAGCCTTTGGAGTGTTTAAAAACAGGAACTTCGCCAATTTAAGCTTATAAACAGCCTGAAGTAGACGAAGAAATCACATTCAATACTGTTGAGTTAACTTGTGTTAGTGTGATACCGTGCTGTGTTCTAAAGCCTCAGCGATTTGTGTGAATTCGTGTTAGCATGACACCGTGTTGTTTGTTAGCACGTCAGCGAGTTTTTCTGAACGCGCTGTTGAGCTTTAGCAAATGGCCCTATCCAGACATTATATATAGAGGATATATTTTGCATCTTTACTAATTTAATTGACACAATGAACGACTTCAACTAGCATAGCATAACATTTATTTCAACTAATGCGGGTGAAAGATTTAAATATTGACAAAACTAGAGGTTATATTATAATCTATAAGGACACCTTTTGTGTTTGAATTAAGTAATATGTGTATCAGTCACAAGTTAATTTTAACTCTTTTTAATTTCAGCATACTCAACATTCTCAGAATTATTATCAATTGTGTATGGCCAATTTTGGGACGAAGTAGGATGACTGTGTTCAACTTCCATATATAAAAGTCCATCTTGATTTTGATCCCGAACAGAAGTCTGGATTGGGTTCTTTTGTGGTTTGCTAACCTGGGCATACACTGCCCCGGTGGATACTTCGGTTGATGATACATTGGATTTCTTTGGAATAGCATATACGGGTATTTCAGGAATATCTTTTACATCATTTTTGCTTTTGAGCGTTACTGGTGTATCATAAGCATTCGCTTTCTGAATATTTGCTGTTAACTGTGATGGTGGTGGACCGAGTCGTTGTTCGTCTGCTGTGGAGTAACCAACATCGTCCACAGGTTGATTTGAATGGTAGAGAGGATTATCTGGTAGTTTATGTTCATATTCAAAGGTTTCATTTTTATGTTCTGTATTATGTTTATTGTTTGATGAGTGTTTTTGCTTATTTTCCTTCCTAAAACAAAATAATTTCACCATAACATATCATTCCAACAATTTAAAATAATAATAATAAAAATAGATGAATATTTAAAAATAAAAAAAAGGGTTCCTGAAATGGATCTTGTTGTAAAAAATTCATGTTCAGGCAAAAAAAGGACAAATTATAACAATAAAACTTGTTTTCTGCAGAAAATTTTTTTGTGTAAGTATGTTAGCGGGAACATGAAAAAAACCACAATAATTTGAATCAAGTGTATTGTTTAGATAAAATAGATTAATAAAGTTTGATTTCTGTCTTGATGAAAATAAGAATAAATTACTTTTCTCATTGCGAGAAAGGTTACCTTGAAAATATGACGATTAGAATTATTATAACAGCAATGAGCACCAATCCTCCACCTGAAGCAGAACCAATGATGACATCTACAATAAATATGAAACAAATCACCCATGTTATATTGTTTTGTTTTATCGATTTTCCAATCTTCAATCAGTCTATTGAATGAAATACTGTATGAATATGACACCATCAATACTACAGTGTATAAATTAAATCAACTACATACAAAATGTTGACAAACAAAAAATCATTATCATGAAGGGTATTTAAAGATTGACTCTATAGAGAAAAAAATTACCAAGACCAATGTTTAAAAAAAATATTGATACATATCAATTTATTTTGGGGTTAGAACATTTTCACATCAGTATAAATTGAAATTGATTTTTATAATATCTGAAATGGAAAATTGTATTTTTATCACTTATTGTAATATTATTCTTACTTTTAGAATACCTTTAGACAGACAATACGTTAAAAGATAATGTAGATAGCTAAAACTTGAACATAGCAGTGCATCAAACTTAACATAAAATCGTATACATTTGAAAACATTGAGAGAAATGAACTATTTTCAAAAGTACTGCATTTAAGAAATAGAACAGAAATTAAATGGCATGTTTAAGATTTTGATAAACAGCATGGACACTTCAAAATTGTAAAGCATATGCATGTAAGAAAACGACGTAAATACATCTTTACTTTCTGCAAAGTTTTCTATTAATTACAAATGACTGATAGAAAGAAATGTATTTAAAAAAATAATTTCCTGAACGTAAGACCCGGTTTTAATCTTTGATAGAATATTACATTTATTATATGACTGAATAATCCCCATCTCTCTGATTGGCTGAGATTCAACTATGTTGTAAAAATACTACGTTGTATTGACCTGCACGTGACGTTCCAGGTGAACACAAGGATTTATTACCTCTACAACGATTTAAAATAGATCGAAAAATTCCGAATTGATACAAATTGTTTTGGAAAGCTATTTAAACGACTATGACTTTTTTATATGAACAAAACATAAGAGAATATATATTTTCGGTGAGGGTGGTAAGAGGGGATGCAGGTACACCCTCCAACACTTTTACTGCACAACAATTTTTTACTTTTTGGCAGTCAGCTTTCCCTGTTTATACTCTTTCCTTTCAAAATGTTTTCTTTGAAAAGACTGACATTATATCTTTCTTTATGGCAACTAAATAGATAAAAAAAATCAAATTGATACGACTGGTAAGGTTTATTGAAATTTTAATTCTGCTCCTCTCTTGTATTTGGTTAGGACTTGATTAAATACAAGCTATTAATGAGCTTATCATTTTATCAGTGAATCATATGCTAGTAATTAAACAATTACCGCTGTTTTTTTCCGATTAATACTGTACAATTATTGCTGGTTTTTGAGGTCAATACAATGATTTAGCCATCTGAGGGGTACAATATTGTACTTCGAAGATGGCTAAATCATTGTATTGACCGACAAAACAGCAATAATTGTTTTATTATATGATTCAGTGATAAAATGATAAAGCTCATAACTTGTTTGCATTTTATTAAGTCCTAGCCAAATACAACAGTGAAGCAGAATTAAAATCTGAATACCGGTCGTATCGGTTTGAAATGTTTTTTTTAAAATAAATTTTAGTTGCCATGAAGGAAATATATAATGTCAGTCTTTTTTATGGGACAGATTTGGAAAGAAAGGAGTATTATCAGGGAAAAATGACTGCCAAAGCAGAACTCTACACTGTGTACCTATTATATCGAGTGTGTAAAGGAATGATTTTGTATGTTCAAATTTTGAATTTATTGGCATTCTGTATGTTCACTTCCATTGACCATGATAAGTGGTATACCTTACTTACAATTTATTTCAGATTTCTCAGGAGGATGCACAAACAGGGATGAACGTGTTGAACCAGATTGGGTGTACTTAGTCGGAATGACTGTTGTTTCAGAGGACGCATTGTCATAGTTCTTTGTTACAGTTGTAGACGAATACTTGCTGGTTGTCCTGCTTGACGTATGTGATGTAAAAGGTGAAGTTCCACAAATTACAGTGATATTATCTCTAGTCCCACCTTTTAAATTAGATCAATATTTATAATTAAGAGTTATTCTTTTTCTTTATAAACAAAGAAGTGTAGGACGTACATGTAATAAGTAATATAAGATTTATCGGATGTCTTATGTAAAATTAAAACATTTTAAAATGACTATGCATAATTTATGAAATATGAAATCAAAGTCCAGAATCAACTGTTCAAAAACCACTGCAAAGTCATGTTTTGATAACTTCTTGCAAATGTGGGACTAACTCAAAAGACAAGTGGTTATATAGAATGTCTCAGTCACAAGGAATGCATACGTGAAAAATGAAAGCCATAGCATCTCCCAAATCAAAAGTTATGGACATGTTATCGTACAACATCAGGGCCATTGAGCAGTGAGGGTTCTTTCTCGTGGCAGCGCCTACCGTGACACGGGACCTACGTTTTTAAGGTCATCTCCGAAAGACCCGTAACTTTCACTTCTGATGCCGAGCGCTTGGCGAAGGAACAATCACTACCTATCTTTACGTCTTAGGTTTGACGAGGCGCAGCGAACGAGAATCTAACCTGGGCCTCCCGAAAACGAAGAGAACGCTCTACCATTAGGCTACCGTGAACAGTACTGTAAAGTTTCTTAAGACAAAATACTTGACAGAAGTTAAATCATTATGAATTGGATTGACTGTTAAAGTGAAGAAGGGGAGATGTTTCAAAAATTATTTTTATTCTTGAGCTCAGTGAAAGTAAGCACGGGAAGAGTCCTGAGTTAAGCAATTTGTTATGAAAGATCGCCTTGTAACAGCAAGAAATCGTTAAATATCTTAGAATATTTAATTACTAAATCTCGTTTACTTAAGACTTTAAACACATCGAATTAAAAAAAAAAAACAAAAAACGGGGGGTCCTTTCTTTTTCTGCGATGGAAAAACGACGAAACCCAAGAGAGAGGACGGGTTGTGATGGTCATTTTGCTTGTTCTAGGAAAAGATATTGCTACCCACCCATCCCTTTGCCAATATTGACATCTGAGTCAAAATCTTAAAGATTTAGTGGACAGAACCTTACAGCTCATGTCACCTGACTGCACATCACAAAAGATCAAATAAGAATTTTACTCGTTTAAGGACTTTTTTTTGGGTATCATAGAAATTGGTTTATGCATAATAAAAAATCCATACTTCCAAGTAGATAATCGAAAAGTGACAAAATTTCTTTTGAGCACAATATATCGTATATATATAACGTGGTTGAAGATCTCATAAAAAGAACTTAACCTAAGATAAACATTTACGTCAGAGGCATAGGCAAGGATTTTTCTTTATATTTTAAAAGGAAAATAAAATGACGTATTAAAGAAACTGTTTTTGAGAGGAAAATATTTATTTAGCAATTTCGCTATTCGCAACTTTTTATATATTCCTCTAAATAAAAAAAAAATGAATAAAGAAAGGAAGTCATTTACCATCTGTTTTTTCCTGAACTCCCACACATTGGTAAAATCTCATTGGGGTGCTTTCTGATGCATAGACGGCATAAATCGAAACTAATTGGCTTATATTGACAGAAATCAAGGTGGAAGATTGTACGTTCAATGGGCAATTGAATCGATATTCACCCACTTCGATTAGTGTATTACATTGAAAAGGTACAGGATTTACAGATACCAGCAGATTCCCAAGAAATGACGGAATCACAGTACACGAACACGGTTGGTTAATCTGATGAAAATCTATGTAAACTATGCTTCCACTTTGCGCTTCTCCATTACAGCTCGTGATCGTTAAATTTGATACTGAAAAAATAAATAAACCAAAGTGAGAGCTAAAATCTCAGTACAGAAAAAATAAATAAAGCAAAGCTCAGAGTGAAAAAATATAATAATTCAAAAAGATTATATTTCAATAAAAATTTATTAAAATGCGTCTTACCAATTGAAGAACATTGTCCTGAAAAATTGAAAATATCAATATAACAAATTAATGTTTTATTCATTACTTTCAAGTAGGATTTTTATTACTTTGTTGATGTACTGTCAAATACAATTTAATACAAAAATCCTCCTCCCTTCTGTCTCTCAGTCTATTTTGATGCTGATGATTATTTTATTGTAATATAAAATGTTACATGTACATGCCTTATTTGAATTTGTTATCAAAACCTTATTGTCAGTTTGTTATTGTGTAAAAGACCAAAAGGTTTTTTTCACAACGTACAAATGTGGTAAAGATCACTTGAAAAAAGACAATTTTTTTGTTTAAAAAAATCTGATTGTTAGGCATATCATCAAATCCTCAGATAAAAATAATGAAAAACAAGAAGTCTGTGGACCAATGCTCACAAGTAATATCCCCGCTCTGATGTGAATATACACTATCAGGTTAATATACACGAGTTGATGCACGGACAAATAAGAAGTTGACATCGCATTTAAACAAAAATGAATTTAGCCATATGAAACAACGTTGAAGATTCAATATGTTTTCAACATTGAATATTTTCTGATATTATAGAATTGAAACAAGGTTTAAAAATGCAAAGTTGACTGTTTGTTGATTTTAACGTTGACACAACGTGGAAGATCCAACATATTTTCAACTATAGGAAAGTTAGGAAAACAACGGGTAATGAGTATTGAGCACTTTAGTTTTTAAGGTCAAAATATAAAGGTGTCTTTAACTCTTAATTTATGCGATTTTTCGCAAGATACACACAGCTGTATGCATTGTTAGAAAATATGATATATATAATTATGAATAATAAATGAAACACATGCATTATGAATTGATTTACTTAGAAGAGTTGTGCCAGTTCAGGTAGTACCATTGTAAAATTTAATGAATTGTGAATGCATTTTTATGAGCCCGGATCGAATGATCCGAGGCGTAAATTGTTTTTGTCCTGTCTGTCTGTCTGTTTGTCTGTTTATCTGCAAACTATAAACTTCGCTATAACTTTTGAACCATAAAAGACAAAGATTTCATATTTGGTATGCATACTCCACTAATTAAGCTCTTTCAAATGACACCAAGGTCAATGACCTTTTGACCTTGACTGTGTTTTATGCTAAAAATAGCTTTTTTGAACATTCACCATAACTTTTTAACAATGAAAGATAAGAGACTTCATATTTGGTATGCTTACTTCACTAAGTAAGCTCTTTCAAATGACACCAAAGTCTATGACCTTGTGACCTTTACTGTGTCCTATATGCTAAAAATAGCTTTTTGATAATTCACCATAACTTTTGAACAATGAAAGATAGGGACTTCATATTTGGCATGCATACATGTACTCTACTAATTAAGTTCTTTTAAATGACACCAAGATCAATGACCTTGTGACCTTGACTGTGACCTATATTCTAAAAATATGTTTTTGTAACTTTGTTGCTGCCGGGCGCATAGTGTATCACAAAAACATCGTGTTTTTTTTTATACATACTTATAAAATAAGTTAAATATAAGCTTTTAAAAAATAATGACATCTTTATCCAATATCTCACTGTAATTTCATGTTACTTTAGAATTATTAAAAATAATTATTTATTCCGAATTAATGTTCTTAATATTAGACTCATATAGATCCGTGCCGTATACTCTTGCGCAAAATGTTATATACAGAGTGAATCTAAGAAGTCTTATTTTATCAGACTGTGCTTTTGTTGTGTGTATCAGTTCTATAATCTTTCTTTTCACAAAATATATAAAAGAAAAATTCAAATAAACACATAACAATTTTCACACTGACAATTAACCCCGGTCAAATAGCATTAATTACTTAAGATCCACTCCCTAAAAACCTTCGAGATTCCAGATAAGGAGTGCCTCTAGCTTAGTTGGTCAGTTTCAGTGTCAGGATAACCTTGTTATGTAATTTTCTTGCTGGGCAGAGAATAGCTGCAGCTTATCTAGGTCAAAATTTGAATTCAACTGAGAAGTGCGTGTCTCCTCGCTGTTCATATTTAATGTGTTTTCAAGCTACATACACAAGGATTAAGGCTGGAATATCAACTTCTGCTCAGTAAGTATTATTTCCTTTTCATGGATTTAAGAAATTAAGTTTATTTAGTATCTGTACATCATTTAATGCTTGTTTTATACATGTAAGTATATTTGAAATCTACGTGAAATGCTCATCCTTGGTTCGTGTTTAATGTGTTTTTTGATATTCATTTGGTTATGAAATAAAAGTAAATATAAGTATACTTATATATTATACAATTTAATTAATTGTGGTTCGTCGTAAGTTTCAATCAACTAGTGGTGCAGGGAATTGATTGTATATAGTCAGCCTTGATTGCATCAGATTCTTCGCCCGTGAAAATTATACAAAGGAATGCAACATTTTGTAAGTATAGTACACTATATATGTCTATGTATGTCTATAACATTTTCTTTAGTAATAATTATTTATAAGCATACTTATACGAATTTTAATATGAAGTTAACTATAATTCTTTCTAATCATGTTAATTAAATCAAAGTACCGGAAAATATTCCTTTGTCTGATTTTTTAAATTATTCATGTATATTTATTTTTATCGTTTGAAATAATGTTTTATGTACATTGTATCGAACAAATTTCTTTCACATCTTTATTTCTTTTATTTATAGGCTTTTGCTCTAGAGGGCGGATTCTCCTGTTTATTTCTTTCATTCGTGGGACTTAACTACAGATGTAAAAAGAAAATATGCGTGATTAAATTCAATGGATCCGCCACTTTGTGGAACTTAGTAGTGTAAGGCAGACGCGTACTTTGAAGAACCTTGATGTGATAACTGGACCCCCTTTTCACTAGGAAAATAAATTTTGTCAAGCAGTGATTTTTGAGATTCAGTGATTGAATCCAAATTTGTGTTTGTCTTTAAAATACAAACTAAAATGAATTCTCTCACAATCGTAATGCTGGATTATAACTTATATAAATATTATGCAACTTGAATAAAAAAGAAATATTAGAATTGAAATGTATTTGTTTATAAAGCAAAACGTAATATGAATTCAATGTGATTTCAACCAAATAGCAACGTTTGTACAACCAAAGAAATTCAACCAAATCTCAACCAATTACAACGAATGTTCACTTCTGTACAATGTAGTTATTTGACTTTGAAACAACGTTGAAGCTTCAACGTTGCATCAACTTTCATTTACAACCAAAAATCAACCATAAATCAACCAAAAATGCAACACATTTTCTATGTTTATTCAACGTTGAAAATTGACGTTGAAACAACGTTATGCTTCAACGTTGCCTCAACTTTCATATGCAACCATATTCAACGTTGATTCAACGTTGAAGTGCAATGTTGATTCAACGTTGAATCAACGTTGAAATGCCTGCTGGGAGTATGCTAAAATTACAAGATCTACGATGAGTAGTTGCTGAGAAAACTGCGAAAAGAATTTGTAATGTTTGGTACGAACAGACGCAGAGCTAAACAGGAAGTTGACACCCCATTTGATCAAAAATGAGCCCATCAGATGGCAAGCCTCAACAAAGAGTGTGCTAAAGATGCAAGATTGGCGATTAGTAGTTGCTGAGAAAACTGCTACGAAAATTGTTATCTTTAGTACGGACATACGCACGGATTAACAGTAGGTTGAAATCCGACTTGAACAAAAATGAATCCATCACATGGCACGCCTCACTGAGAATTGTGTATAATTTTCAAGCATCTGCGATGAGTAGTTGCTTAGAAAACTGCGACCAAAAATTTGTTTTGGACAAACACACAGACAATAGGCGGACAAACGGAGACAGATAGACACACACGTGTAAAACATTATAACCTCCTTTGCTTCGGAATGGGAGTTAATAAACATTTAGTTCTGGCAAAATTTGATGACACTAAATGCAATCGTATTCATCTTGTTAAGCGAGAGAGCTATCCTGTATTAGTTCAAACTTAATTTTACAATAAAACATCCCTTCCCAATCTGAATAAACTAATCTGTAACCATGTCCATTTTCTATTCGCATGAGAGAAATATCCATGATTTTCGAGATCTACGCGCAAATATAAATCGCCGCGAATGAATCATTTTCCTTTGTATTCGGATCGAAAAGTCTCCTAAAATATTGTCATTAAAATGATCAAAACATTATGTAGATTTTTTTTAGATATGTGTAATAATATTTACATGTATATACTCTTCTGATTACTAATGCTGTGTTCTTATATTATTCTGATTTTGGTTTGAGCTGCAACGGAGTATCCGATGTACATGTTGGAACGTACATGTAATCGTGTGTATGGTGAGTGTTTGAGTGTGTATTTGTTTATGGATGAGTGAGTTATAGCGCTGTGTGAAAAGGAATTGACGAAATAAACATTTGCATCGGCAGAGTGGTGATATCATTCAGTCCTTTACGAGGTGATGTTCCACTTTGCGGTACCCGTGTTTCCTATTGTATATGGTGCCTACACATGTAAATATATAAACAGCTAGCCCTTGCACGCACCTATTGCCTCTCTCACCTGGTTTCCAATAACCTAGCTGGTGAAATATTAAGGCCGGTATACACGGTAAGATTTGTATTATAAGATTTGTATTATAATACAAAATCTTACTGTGTATACACTCTTAATACAGTGTATCATAAGATTTTTCGAATCTTATAAGACTGTATTAAGAATAGAGCAATGTTCTATTTCCTAATACAAGTCTTAACTCACCTTTTACTTTCAACCAATCAAATGTACTCACATTGGAGGTCATCCTATTTATATAATTACTAAATAAAGCACATGGTAAATAATAATGGCCGACTTTTCAAATAAAGATACCGATAAACTCGTGGTTTTATGGGAAGTGGAAGAGGACTAGCTGTAGCTACCACAAAAGAGATGCTAGAAGCAGAGCATATTATTATCATTTTATTATTTTGAAAGAAAGGAGATATGGCAGGAGAAAACACGTGGGAATAATAGTTTATTTACAATCTTATAGGATATATATTAGTGTGTGTACAAGAAAGTACTATAATACAAAAGTATTATAATACTTGTATTACACTACAAATCTCATCGTGTATACAGGCCTTTAGACCAAAAATGTATGTGTAAGTTTTAAATGACTGAATCAATCGATTTTATTATCATTTTGTACATGTTTAATAATTTGGCTTTAACATTGCGAATGTTGGTCTTAATATTCATTTAGAAATTTAACCCTGAGTCACTTTTCAAACCAATTCAAAATTCTAGGCAACATCGTACTTTAAAAACACAGAACCTGTTTTGAATTTAGTTAAGAATAGAATATAAGTTTGTTTTCATTCGGAAGCACTCATGCAATATCCCAATGGTCTCTGATATTTGTTAAAATTGCTAACAATTATTATCAGTGATGGAACGTCATGCAAAGGATGCCTTCCAAAAAACTAAAGAGTACACACGGTAAATGTTCATGCATCTAATAAACATGTTAGATATTTAAATATACGTTGATGTATTACAAAATTTAAATCAATTTTGAAATGGAATTTCTATTTTCGCTTTTATATCGTTATCCTTATTTGGGAGAGTCTACAACAAATATATATTATGCCTTGAATGATCTTTTGGGAAATAAAAATTGTGGAAAAAAAATCTTTCATATTATTAGTAGATGGTATTCTAAAGTGTATATAATTTAAACCAACTGGTTAAATTATATACACTTTCATTTTTCATTTTTCAGTGTATGTATTTTGTTTTTTTACTGATACAAAAATGTACTAAATTAGTTGAATTAATTTTTTTTCCTGTACGGAAATAGATAGTGACAAACAAAGGGTTTATATCTTCTATTCTTTTTCGTTCTTTATGATCTTATCAAAAACGATTCTCTGTTTTTTAAGAAATAAATGTAGTTGATACCAAAGACAATTTCTTACCTTTGACCATGGAAGTTATATATGTAAATACATATATTACTGAAGTAACTGTCAAAAACTTCATTCTTGATTCTAAACCAGGAAGAAGACTGGGTCAAAGAAAAACCTCAAACATATGTAGTCGTACCGGTTTAATGTTAAAAATAGATTTAAAAGGTTGTTTTTATTCGGAGGCAATCAAGCGATACACAAGTCGGTTCTGTGGAGTTTAAATGTCGGGCAAAAGATTAGTACTACGTATTTGTTTCGGTTTTTAAGCTTAATAATATTAAGGTATGAAAAAAAATAAAAGAAAATTTTAAAAAGATTCCATGAACTAAAAACGAAATGAATCGGTGAACCAAGTTATGTTATCCGTTTTATTATGCATATTTATTTTCATATATCTGTTCTGAAAGAGATCTTATCCCACAAAAGTGTTCATAGTTTTTATTTCGCCGTCTTATATGTCAACATATTATATTTTTGTCTTTACATATGAAAAAAGGAAATCTATTATTGAATGCTCTGCGATTTAAAATTACTACATAAATGTATTTTTAAGATAAAAGCACTTGGGGCGTATAAGTAAAAAATAAAAAAATACATAATTATATCTCGTGAACCTTACTTTATACTTGTATCTCCATCTTTTAAGCCTTACGGAGATGCTTTAATAAATTACAATAGATTGATTTTGTATTTAGATCATTTATATTAGAAACTTTTTAATAATGATTCAAAATATCATATACTTTCATCACATTTTTAACATAACAAAAAGTTAAATTTTTTAAGCAGAGTAACAAAAGGGTTCCAGTTAGGGGTCCATTTTTTGCCCTCTTCACAAAGTTGTATCCTTTGTATATTTTACATGTTTTTTTTAAAATTTTATTCAGTTTTTGTTTGGACCGGTCTCTTTTCAACAATTTGATTTTATGATATAATGCATATTTGTATAAAGAATCCAAGAAACGATTAGACCAACATCATAATAAAATGCTCTGATGAGGGCTTGAAAAAGAAATATTTCCCCAAAGAAAAATGTTTTATTCATACATCTGTCCTCTAATTATTTCTGTTTATGAAGTTAAATTAATGAATTTCATAGAAAAAATCTCCAGGATAAAGGCTTTTATCAATTTAAATTTGGTGACATTTAGTTCAGCATAATCTGAAAGAAAGTCACTGATAGTGCTGTTTAATGAAACTTTACAGTTTTTTATTTGCATAAAAGATTTTTTAAGAGAGTGGAAAAAGTAACAAATCATCCCTGTTCATTTTCGTGAAAAAAAGACAACCATGAGAATATAGATTCTGTATCGAACATTTTACCATCAAATTTTACTCCCCCCCCCCAATTTTTAAGGATGTTAATTTATTGGAGAAACATTAAAACAGTATGTACTGCAGGAAAACTGCGTAAATCTGGCATATGTTAATAGAATAAAATTTGTGGAGATAAACAACATTTGAGCTCAAAAGTCCATTATACATCACAAAATAGGAGCAGATAATACTGATTTCCAAAACCTTATAGTTGTTATCAGTTGGCTTGGAGCCAAGTTTGAAGAGTGAGCATCCCTTGTCGTCCGATTGGTGCTCCTTGTAAGGTCGGAAAATAAAGGAAAAATCCGTCGGCAATTCAGTGTGCAAATAATGGCCTAACAATGCGTATGAAAAACGCCTTTCAGCATTTGACCCAATGAAAGATTGTAATTGCTGACAAGGCCATTGTATCGACCATAGAACCTCATGAAATGATGACTTTAAACGAGGCTGATGATATTCTTGTTTCATCAACTTGCTTGTCAAAAATTTAAATCGTTTTATTAATTGTACATACATAACACATATGAGGGTTGTACGTAAAGTTCGTTGACAAGTCATTGATATTTATAAATGGCATATTTCTAAACCTTTTTCTAAATCTGAACTGAGAAATGTAAAATCGGAATCAATTTTAAATGTTTAATTACAATCATGACTTCATGATTAAACTTGGTATGGAGACCCGGAGCACCACAAAATTTTGATTAAAAAATTATTTTTCACTTTATAAATTTCATTTGTATTTTATAAAATTCTGCAGAAATCTAGATGACTTTAATATTATGAGGTTGACAGAAGTTATCACTTCAAACCTGCAAAAATTGAACATTCAAAGTTGTAAAATGACTGAGCTATCAAAGTTAGAACATATTAAGACGGATCGGAACTGTTTAAAAAGGGGCGTTTTCGGAATAGGTGGAGCAGTAAGCAGTGATAAAATTCGGCATAGAAATCGGAGAAACAACTCACTGAAACTACTCAATCTGCAGCTCTGAACAACCATGGTGTACAGGTTGGCTCTGTAAAACTGGTAGTAGGGATAATTAGACAAGAATATGCACCACCATAAACCTAAGCTCCATCCACATTTGCTCCTGTCATTCAGCTCCGTCCAAGTTGTCACATGCAACTTTGGCTCTATCTCCTTTAACTCTATCCACATCAGATCAGTCCTGACAGTCTACATTCTTATGGACACAGGCTATAAATTTACTGCCTTTGATTGACAATGTTTTAAAATAGGAGTAATAAAATAGGTGCTGCCAGCATTGCCTGAAATCAGTTTCAATAACTATTGGTTTTAGTGCATCTTCTAAACATCTTCAGGGTTCAATTTCAATAAGAGTGGCATACCAAAGAAGTTGGTAGTTTTTCCTCCAGTGGAAAACCTTCATACACTTCATTACCGATGCTAGAAGTAGATTTATATTTAATTTGATACCTCTCCTTGGAGAATTAGGTCCCAGCCTCAGTATCTTCATCACATGTCTCAGCAATAGGCTAGCTACACAAATCTGCAGATTACCAGACCACGCTGAAAATTCTTACACCCCCCTCCCCTCAAATTCCTGAAATAATGCCATGCACTAGTTATAAAGCCACAGCAGGACGCAAGACTGAAAATAACAACTGACATTCTACGGCAAATTATTCTGGTCATTAACATTGTCGAACCACTCTTAGTAAAAAAGGAACATACTTAAAGCCTTCTATACTTTATTCTGGCCTTTTGAACATTTTGAATAAAAGGTAAGTTACGTGTAGCATGCTCCGCTAACTACAGTCAGATTCAACATTGTTCCGATGTTAACTTCAAAGTCTAAAATGGGATCTTGTTAGGGTTTACCATTGTTAATATGAATAAATTCAGGAATAACATTGAGCAAAACCCAGCTCTTTTGCATTTTTTAAACAGCAATTTCATTTCATTTTGCCCTGTTAAAGCATGTGGTCACACTACTCACTTTTCAGTGCTGTTCAAAGATGGCTGTTTGTCTCATATCTATGTTCCAAATGTTCATGTAGTAACCTTATTATAATTACAAAAAATACTAAACATTCTTTGCAATATTATTGTTTTTCCCTTGCTGGTTTACCACACTTGAATAACCTACAGTTGAAAATAAATGACTTTGTTTAACGTTTGCTTAACATTTGTTATCTCTCAGAACTACCTAGTCATAAAGACATATACCACATATGCATAGTTCATATTTCATTATTAATTATATAAACAAAAATACTGTAAAAATTACTGAGATTTTTGTTTTTGTAATGTTCTCTATTGATTTTTTTCCTTTAATTAGTATCAATCCCTCACTACTTGTGTCATTGTGGCGCAATTGTTTAGAGGCCTCCAAGGCTTAACTTGTTCACTCAATATGTTATATTTTATGCATTCTCGTATGTACATAAACGACATACAAAAAACTCTTACTTTTTCACGGTATTTAATTTTCAAGTCAGTCTCAGAAGGTTCAGATCTGTTCAGGTTAAGACTTTATATCATTCAGTTGAAAGACATATTTGTTTAAACTGTCTACATGCGTTTGTTTATTCCTGATGATTTAAAAGTGTTAGAACTTTAACCTTTTTATTATGTTACAAAAATTGAACATAAACCCTTCATAAAAACAAACAATATCAGCAATTAAAATAAAGCATATTTCTCTAATCGGGAATCACATTACACTCAAAATATAGAACTTTATAAATCTTACTAGTATCAAATGTTATCCTCTTGCTTAGATTTACATTATTATTCTAAATGATTATGAAGATTTTATTTTCTATTCACAAAATGCCAATTATGATCCTTCTCATTAAATCTGGATCGAAACGTTTGCCTTTTTTCACGACATATTTAAATTTGTGTAATTTGTCTGATTTTCAAGTGGACTGTATTGGTTTTCTGGGTCAGATATACCTTGCCGTCTCACATTTGCCACGTCAAGTTCCATGTAAACATTTGAACTGTTTTGTTCGCTTGTCATGTTGTTTGTTCGTAGTTTCTTTTCGTTAGACTTGTCATGCCTGATAAGGAAAGTGTATATCAATATTGCAATACTTCTTTGAAACCATAAAATGTAAAAAAAAAATATTGGATTTAACAGAATAGAGATAAAATTATATATTGAAAAAAGTATTCAAGAACTTTTGAAAGCTCATAATAAATCAATATGGCACAATTTTGCAGAAAAACTAAAATTAATACTATCAATTGAGATTCATGGAATAAGATCTGAACAATAACCATATGCGTTATTAAATTAAAGACACTATATGTATAAATTTACGATTTTAAACCGCCATAAACGTACCTTGCTCGTAGATTGAGGAGTAAATAGATGTTGATAACAACTGAAACAGCAGACACTATACAAAAACAAACAAGTGGAATTATAGTGTAAATGCACGACGTCTCGTCCGAGTCTAACAAAACTGAAAAAAGCCACACAAAAATTTAATAGTTTTTATCAGTCCATATTTTACCAAAAAATTCTGTTGACCTTTTTAATTATAATTGAGCAAAATGTACAAAGAGGTACTTATGAATCAGTAAGTCCTGAAGGAAACATCTAATGCTTCAATTCCTTTTTTTCCGTTCAACATATGCCTATTTTGGGAAGCTTTTTCTTAACGCTTGCAGTTAAGAATACAGTAGAATTACTTCCAATGGTGGGATAGGTATTTTCTTTATTATTTGTTGTGGTTTCCCATGACAAAGAGAAGGGGAACTCGCTTGTTGCTATCCATGGAGATGTGGTCGTTACGGTACTTCCACAAACAATACTTATGTTCCG